CCAAGAGTGGTAAAGGTAAAGGTAAAGGTAAAGGGACCCCTTACCATTAGGTCCAGTCGTGACCGACTCTGGGGTTGTGGCGCTCATCTCGCTTTATTGACCGAGGGAGCTGGCGTACAGCTTCCGGGACATGTGGCCAGCATGACTAAGCCGCTTCTGGCGAACCAGAGCAGTGCACGGAAACACCGTTTACCTTCCCGCCGGAGCGGTACCTATTTATCTACTTGCACTTTGACGTGCTTTTGAACTGCTAGGTTGGCAGGAGCTGGGACTGAGCAATGGGAGCTCACGCTGTCGTGGGGATTCGAACCGCTGACCTTCTGATCAGCAAGTCCTAGGCTCTGTGGTTTAACCCACAGTGCCACCCACGTCCCTTCCCAAGAGTGGTGGAGCAACCCAAATCCCTGGTACTCTGCAGCTGCAGAGCCAACATTCCAGATGTTGTTGGACTCAACTCCCTCCATCCCTGACTGCTGCCTATACTGGTTGCAGCTGGAGTGCAACAACATCTGGAGTGCACCATGTCAGCTACCCTTGCTCTACAAGGGTCTTTCTTGGCCCTTTGTGTTTTGTAGAATGAAGGTAGCGCCCAAGAACCACATTCCCTTACGGGCAGCCTTCCAGTAGCTGCATACCATTGGAAGCCATGGCCAGAGTCACCCCACTCTGCATCCTTTTGATGATAAGCAGAGTAGCTTACATCTAAATAACTATTCTGGGTGACGGATAACTTCTTTGTAAAAACTATACAATGTCCAGACTCTTTATATTCAAAAAGAAGCTACAGTCTAGCTTCGGCACAGGTTTCTTCCTATTAAGGTTTAGGGATCTTCCTCTGTCTGATTCACTTCAGACAGATCACACTGACACAACACTGCCCTCAACACTATCCCGAGAAGCCTCTCTCAGCAGCCATTCTCCCTCACAGACACAGAGAGAAGAAAGCAGTTAAAAACGACAGTTGCTGGAATAATAGTCACAACACAAAGGACTGCCTCTCTCATGTGACTCACAGTTATCCAATCACATGAGAGCTACTGGCAAAGGTGTGTGTGTGGGGGAAACCATGCTAAAAATACACAGTAAGCTAACATAAGTAAACACGCCCATTTCAGGAAATTAAACCATCCTTAACATATCCTACATCCAGCTAAGGAAGAGGTGCGTTCGCAGTTCCAGGACACATTCCAGATAGGCAAAATCAAGAGAGTTGGCACAGAGCAGTCCAGGGGGTGTGTGGCCTTGGGTATGTGGCCTGGGAAGAGTCCTAAGGGCTGGAGGGTTGCTTTTTGGCCCTGGTTCTAAGGCTCACCATCCCTTTTGCAGAACTTCTGGTTGCCCAAAGAAAGGGAGACGTCCTAGCATTATAAGTGCTGGCACCCATAAATATTTTAGTGAGAGCTTTGGACTGAAACATGGTTGATATACTTTCCCCACAAGCAAAGTGTGGAAGGAAAGGCGAGGCCACACAGAACAAAGATGCTTTCTTGTAACCTAGCAATGTACGTCTCCATCTGTCATCTCCAATAGGTAATAATTCGCATAAGGGCTCCGTGGGGATTTGGGGATAAATGTAAACTGGCGTCATGGCACGCACCTGCCTCCACTACAAAAGTGAGTCACGGGTTCGTCAGGAGTAGTAAAAGCAATCTCTCCACTTCTATTTATACCCTCTCCATCGCACTTACTTTGCGAGAACAGCTGCAGCAAAACGTCGCCACCAGAGCTAAAAGTTTTCGGACTCTCGTCAGCCCTACTATTTCTTTATTTAATAGATTTTATGCGCCACTCGATTGTAAGAAACCTCAGAGCAGTTTACAAAAGATAAAACAGGAAAATGAAATAATAAAATAAATTTCGCAACCCTACTTCAAAACCTGCAAAAGAAAGATGAAAACTAAGGTCTTAGAGAAAAATTTAACTGTGAATGAGAGAGAAAAGTTTCAGGAGGAGACAGGATTAACATTGGTTAAGAAAGTGAAATATTTAGGGGTTAACATGACTGCCAAGAATGTGAACTTATTTAAGGATAACTATGAAAAATGTTGGATTGAAGTGAAAAAAGACTTAGAAATATGGTCAAATTTGAAGTTATCATTGCTAGGCCGAATTGCTGTGATAAAAATGAATGTATTGCCGAGGATGTTGTTTTTGTTTCAAACGTTGCAGATTGTGGATAAGATGGATTGTTTCAAGAAGTGGCAGAGAGATATCTCTAGATTTGTCTGGCAGGGCAAGAAGCCTCGAATAAAATTTAAGATATTAACTGATGCTAAAGAAAGAGGTGGATTTGCCCTGCCAGACCTTAAACTTTACTATGAATCAGCTGCTTTTTGCTGGCTGAGAGAATGGCCACTTCTTGAAAACACTGATGTGCTGGATTTAGAAGGTTTCAACAATGTATTTGGCTGGCATGCATATTTGTGGTATGATAAGGTAAAAGCACATAAAGCGTTTAAAAACCATATTGTTAGAAAAGCACTGTTTAATGTTTGGATAAGATATAAGGATTTGCTAGAAAATAAAACCCCAAGATGGTTGTCACCAATGGAAGCGAAGGCTCAGAAAAAACTCAATATGGAGGCCAAATGGCCGAAATATTGGGAAATTCTAGAACAAGATGGAGACAGAATAAAACTGCAGAGCTTTGAAAAATTGAAAAACAGAGTGCGAGATTGGCTCCATTACTATCAAATAATGGAGGCATATAACCTGGATAAAAAAGCTGGTTTCCAGGTGGAAAAATCAAAATTGGAAACAGAATTGTTAGATCCCAAAAATAAGAATTTGTCAAGAATGTATAACTTGCTGTTGAAATGGAACACTCAGGATGAAATGGTGAAATCTGCTATGATTAAATGGGCACAAGACGTTGGACATAACATTATGATGGCTGACTGGGAACAGTTATGGACCACAGGTATGAAATTTACGGCATGTAATGCTCTAAGAGAGAACTTAATGAAAATGATTTATAGGTGGTACATGACACCAGTCAAGCTTGCAAAAATTTATAATTTACCTGACAATAAATGTTGGAAATGTAATGAAATTGAAGGTACATTCTTTCACCTTTGGTGGACATGCCCAAGGATTAAGACATTCTGGGAGATGATTTATAATGAAATGAAAAAGGTATTTAAATATACCTTCCTGAAGAAACCAGAGGCCTTTCTCCTGGGCATGGTCGGCCAATTGGTGCCAAAGAAGGATAGAACTTTTTTTATGTATGCAACAACAGCAGCAAGAATACTTATTGCGAAGTATTGGAAAACACAAGATTTACCCACCCGGGAAGAATGGCAGATGAAGTTGATGGACTATATGGAAATGGCGGAAATGACTGGCAGAATCCGAGACCAGGGAGAAGAATCGGTGGAAGAAGACTGGAAAAGGTTTAAAGATTATTTACAGGAATACTGTAAAATTAATGAATGTTAGAAAAATGTTGGAATGAAGTTATATGGCTTTAGTAGAAATGTTATAAGGAATTAAATATAAATAGATTAATAGAGTATTAAAGGGAAAATAAGGTTAGAATGTGTTAAGATAATTATAGGATAGAAAACAGAGGAAGATGGAAAGGAATTGCTGAAACAACTAGCAGAAGTGGAATACAAAAAGGGAGGTGTGAGGAGGTCGTGGAAACAAGTGAATGAAAGATAAGATAATGAAATGGTTTGATGTGTTTTAAATGGATTTTGTTTTTGTTTTATTAGTTTTATGTGTTAGTGTTTTGTAGTGTTTTTGTATTGTTATTGCATTGTCTTCTTTTTTATGTTTTTTCTTTTGTAGTGTTGTGTTTAAATTGTTGGAAAATTAATAAATATTATATATATATATATATATATATATATATATATATATATATAATGTATAAACAAAACCTGCAAAAGATACTGGAACAGATTAAAACTACCTCACTTTCTAAGCATCTGGGTAGGCTTGTCTAAGTAGGAATGTTTCCAGCAGGTGCATGAAATAGTATACCTTGTAGAAGCCCCAGAGAGCATGGCCATTGGTCAGGGATGATGGGAGTTGTAGTCCAGCAACATCTGGGCAGCTGCAGGTCCCTGCATCCCTGCTATAAAGGTAAAGGTAAAGGGACCCCTGATCATTAGGTCCAGTCGTGACCGACTCTGGGGTTGCGGCGCTCATCTCGCTTTATTGGCCGAGGGAGCCGGTGTACAGCTTCCAGGTCATGTGGCCAGCATGACTAAGCTGCTTCTAGAGAACCAGAGCAGCACACGGAAACACCGTTTACCTTCCTGCTGGAGCGGTACCTATTTATCTATTTGCACTTTGACATGCTTTCAAACTGCTAGGTTGGCAGGAGCAGGGACCGAGCAACGGGAGCTCACCCCGTTGCGTGGATTCAAACCGCTGACCTTCTGATCGGCAAGCAAGTCAACCTCCCTTGCTTCTCCGTTATGAGTAAGCGGAGCTCAGAAACACAGAAAGGGTAGCATGAATGAGAAAATCAACCAAACGGAGGAAGACAATCAGGATGCCAGAAAGTGACAAATTAATTACGGTGATTAGGAGGACTTGATTACGGTGTCTGTGAGCAAAAGCGCAGAGCCCACAACCTGCTGGCCTTACGCCCGCTGTTTACTACCAGCCTTAAGAAGTGCTAGTATCTTGTTTCATCGTCAATCTCCTTGGAGAGCCCATTCAGGCAACTGGCTCTTGCGGTGACATCCGTAGGGTGCTATGCAACAATATCATGCTCAGATCAGACCCACTGAAATTGGTGACCAAGATGGACATATCCTTCATGAATTTGTCAAATCCCACACTCAAACCTTTCAGATGTTGTTGGGCTCTAACTAGTACCAGCAGCCCCGGTCAATGCAGTCAGTTGGTCAGGGAACGTGTTGATGTGATTTGCATTCCGACAACATCTGAAAGACCACTGGCCAGTGCTCAGAGATGATGGGAGCTCTAATCCAATGACCTCTGGAGGGCCACAGGTTCCTTGCCCCTGTTGCAGCAGCAAAGGACGATAGCTCAATGGCAAAGCATCCGCTTCACACACAGAAGGTCTCAGGTTTGATCCCTGGCATCACCAAGTAAGACTGGGAGAGAAGTCTTACTGGGAGCCTGAAAACCTGGAGAGCTTCTGCCAGTGTGGACAATACTGCACTGTGTTAAGAAGCACTTTCTTTTCTCTCTCTGGAACATACATGCAATCAGTTTCCTTGGAACCCACATTCTAGCAGGCTGAGAGCAGGCAAAAATATACTCTCCATCCACCATGCATCATTTATATCACATACCATTTTAGTTGTCCTTTTAAAATAAGCTTTCGAGCCCCCAGAGATAGCAGGGTTCTGGTCCCTGATAGATTTGCCTGCCTGTCCCCGCCCCCAAGGAAATGTAGCACTTGACAGAAACAAAGATTCCCCCACCCCAACATCGTTTTAAAGGCTCTGAAAATAAGTCTATCGAATCCAACATTGTGGTCACCATGGCAACATTTCCATTGTATTACTTCCAGAAACCCATTTTTTTTAACTTTTAAAAAATCAATTTTTAAATTTTTTTCTTGTTTTCACTGCTATTTTTAGAATTTTTTTTGTGTGTGTGTCTGTAAAATATCCTTGTTATTAATTTTAAGAAATGTGCTCTTAACACACACACACACACACACACACACACACACACAAATTCAATGAATTAAATGTCTGACATATTTAGGGCAAGGAAGCACCAGAGTTCTACATAATGTGAGGCTGGGTGAGGTCTCCATGTGAAGCAAACTCTATCTGAGATCTTTATCACAAACCTCCCTCCTGTTTACCAGTCTGAAGTAGAGGGGGGTGGGCTTTAAGAACTGCCTTAGGAAATGTTAACACTGGTGGGTGATTAAGCCTACAATCCTTTTGCACACTGACCTAGAAATAAGGTCCTCTGAACACAGGGAGACTCACTTCTGAGTAAACATGTATAGGACTGTGCTGCAAATTCCAACTAATGCATTAATCTGGGAGGTGCATATAAGATCTGTCCATGTTGGAATTCACAACGGTCTTATTCTTCAAGCATCTCTTGCAAATCACATAGGATGGCTGGGTCTCCAAAGTGGCGCCATCTTAGGAATACGTGTGAATGCACACAAAACCTAGTAGGCAGAGATGATTACAGTTTTCAGGATACCATCAACTGAAAGCCCTGTATTATACATGGCATTCCATTCCAATTTATTTCACAAGGCTCAAATCAACCTCATTTTGACACCTGACTTTGTCCAGAGTTTGCAGTGACATTCTGTTCCAAAGGGTTTCTATTGTCTGGCTGAATAAGGGCTGAGTATTTCTGGGAGATGACATGACCTTACTTGATGATCATGGTTTCTTTTTCTTATGGTGGACCTTCTCTGGTAACAACCTTTGCAACAAATTTCACCTCATCTAGAATGAGGGTGGCCTTAATTTCCTTTCACATGAAGACAAGAGAAATAGCACAGTGGAGCAAAATGTATCATTTTGTAGGTTGCTTTGGGATGCATCTTATGAAAAAAGTGACTTGTTGTTGTTATATTTATTTATACCCTGTCTTTCCCACAAACTGGGACTCAAGGTAGCTTACATATTTTGTATGCCATGCTCGCAAATGCATACATTTTTATGCCCAATTTAGTATATATGTTTTTGGTACACGTTAACTTGGGAACTGCATTGCAAAATTCAGAGTAGTGAGAATTTTGAAGGATGGCAGTGTTTTCAATTCACACATTGTTTCAAGGCTGTGTAGGTTCAACTTTAAATTGCCAAGTGAATAGAATTTCTTCCCATCCTTAACCACAATCTTTATGCCTGACATCTAATATTTTGGGTTGCCATTTAAAAAGAAAAGAAAAAAGTAAGGGGATCACCCAATCACGCGAGCCTCTGCCAGCCATTTAAAATGACACAGACAGGAACGAGTTTGCTTCCTCAGCTGAGCAAGGCCACCTCATTGTTGTTCCATCAGCCAGAACGTCTGACTTCTATTTTTATTTCACAAAGCCCATTGATCTTACAAAAACACAGTATTAGTCACGCTGAGGATGTTTACTGTAACAGCAAATCAATTAAGAAAACTGGAAGATAGCTTGCTTGTTAAACTCGCAAATGCATTTCTTTGCCGGTGGTCATAATCTAACCAAATTATATGGTTGTTTGCCATCTGCTGACAAATCATTTCAGCCTCCATGGTTGATGTTACCCCCTTGGTTAAATAACTTGATTTCAGCTGGAGCATTCAAGGATGCTGTTCAGACACTGGAGTCGGAACAAGTTAAAATCCTACCTCCAATAAACTCTGGTAGCTATGGTTTAAGACATTTTTAAAAAGTCTGGCTTTTTATTGCTCTGCCATTTCTTAAAATCACTAATAATAATAATAATAATAATAATAATAATAATAATTTATTTATATCCCGCCCATCTGGCTGACCCAGCACGTGGTAGCTGCAAAAAGAGGATGAGCTCTGCATTGCAGATAATTTGGAAAGAGATTGAATCTCAAACTGCCAATATTGTAAGGCTAGTATACAAATCTACAGTGTGATTGTGCACACTTGGAATACTGTGTATAGCTCAGGGTTGCAGCACCTCAAAGAGGATATTGTGGAATGGGAAAGGACACAGGAATGATCAAAAGGACTTCCATGTGAGCAGAGGTTGCAATATTTGGGGCTTTTCATTTAGCGAGGACAGGGCTTACGTAAAAGAGATGTCTAAAACCATGCATGGTGAGAAGGGGTAAGTGAACAGATAGCTTTCCTATTCTCACATCGTACTAGAACCCAGGGTCATCTAATGAAGCTGAATGCTGGAAATTCAGGATAGGCAAAAGAAAGTACTTATTCATACAACACAACATTAAATTATGGAATTGACTTCTACAAGATGTGGTAAGGTAAAGGTAAAGGGACCCCTGACCATTAGGTCCAGTCGTGACCGACTCTGGGGTTGCGGCTCTCATCTCGCTTTATTGGCCGAGGGAGCCGGCGTACAGCTTCCAGGTCATGTGGCCAGCATGACTAAGCCGCTTCTGGCGAACCAGAGCAGCAAATGGAAACGCCGTTTACCTTCCCGCCGGAGTGGTACCTATTAATCTACTTGCACTTTGATGTGCTTTCGAACTGCTAGGTTGGCGGGAGTAGGTCCAAGCAACGAGAGCTCACCCCGTCGTGGGGATTCGAACCGCCAACCTTCTGATCAGCAAGTCCTAGGCTCTGTGGTTTAACCCACCGCACCACCCATGTCCCTACAAGATGTGGTGGCGGCCACCAATTTAGATGGCTTTTGACAAATCAATGGAAGATACGGCTCTATACCCAGACTCAGAATCCATAGCAGGGCTCTTATGCTGTAACTTCCACTGTCAGAGGCAGCATGCTTCTGAGTACCAGTTTCTGGAGATCATAAGTAGGGAGAGTGCTTTTGCATCGTGGAAGTCCCATAGGCATTTGTTTGGTGACTGCAGAGAACAGGATGCTGCAGTAGATAGGCCTTTGCTCTGATCCATAAAGGCTGTTTTGATGCCCTCTTTATTCTCCTTTCCGCACCTTCCAGCTACCCTCCCACTCCTGCAGGGCAGAACCAACGCAATGACCCCATACACAGATTGCATGCAGTAACTGGAGTGGAATGACAGCAGCAAGGTGAGGTTGTTAAACTAGAGACCCCGGTCGAGGGCATAGAGACTCTGGGCACTCTTTAAAAATGTAAGAGAAAATTGCTTCCGACTTATTCAGCCGAGTGACCCAAAACATTAAGCAAACGGGGAGGAGAAGGACAACACGCTGCTCCTGAAATAACCCGACTTTCAAACTCCACCGACTTCACATTTAAGTTACTTGATTCCTGTTTGCTTTCCTGGTCATGCACAAATGTGTGTTGTCCCAGGAGTCAACCGAGCATGCAGAGTGGAACTTCAACCAGCTGGAGACTCCTGCTTCAGCTGATGGTGTAGGAATTCATTTGGCTTTCTGCAGCTGAGGTAATATTCCTCCCCCCTCTCCATACCACACATATGGGGAAGGGTGAAAATGGCTGAGCAGGGGAGCACAGGGGATATGGCAAAGTGCATCCATTTTAGGTTGAGAGATAACACAGAGTGATGTTTAATACCTTTTTGCAATGAAGAGGCTTATGGGGGGGCATGCATTATGGAATATGGGAATGCCACTTACGATTTTCTGGTAATAATTCAGGTAGCATCTTATTTACACATTATGCAAAAGTAAGCCATGCAGGGAGCTTTGCACACAGGTATAGCAGGTAAATTCATGGCCCCTAAAGTGACTCATAAGGGACACGGGTGGCGTTGAGGGTTAAACCACAGAGCCTAGGACTTGACGATCAGAAGGTCGGCGGTTCGAATCCCCGCAACGGGGTGAGCTCCCGTTGCTCGGTCCCTGCTCCTGCCAACCTAGCAGTTCGGAAGCACGTACCAAAGTGCAAGTAGATAAATAGGTACCGCTCTGGCGGGAAGGTAAACGGCGTTTCCGTGCACTGCTCTGGTTCGCCAGAAGCGGCTTAGTCATGCTGGCCACATGACCCGGAAGCTGTATGCCGGCTCCCTCGGCCAGTAAAGCGAGATGAGCGCCGCAACCCCAGAGTCGGCCACGACTGGACCTAATGGTCAGGGGTCCATTTGCATTTACTTTTAAAGTGACTCATAAATGAAATTGATGTTGCTGCTGCTGCTGCTGCTACTACTACTACTAATAATAATGTGTGAACCTGTAGGATAAATATATTTGCATTTTTAACCCTTAAGACTGTGTTGTGTGAAGGTGACCCACAAATCACCCTCAAGATCTGTTACGTTAAAAACTGAGCGGTTAGGGCAGGGGAGTTTGGGGGAGCCTGTTGTCCTGCAAATGTTGGACTCCGACTCCCATCAGCCATAGCAGCAAGCATAGTCAATGATCAGGGATGATGGGAGTTATAGTTGAAGAGCATTCCGAGGGCTCAGGCTCTCTATCCCTTACTCAGGACACGGACCTTTGGGGATATCACTTACTAAGTTTCTGTTAATATGGATGGAGGTGATGAAATTATTTGTGGCTACTAGACATAGGAATTAAATCAGGGGTGGGGAGCTTGCAGCCCTCCAGATGTTGTGGCGCTACGATTCCCATCATCCCTGACCAAGGGACATGAAAACTGGGGCTGATGCGAGGTGGTCTGCTCACACCTGGAAGGCCACAAGTTCCCCACCATTGAACTCCCAGGTGTTAAAAATAGAGAGAGATTATTTCTAATGATGAGAGTTTGGGGATGGCCATCAGCCTATTCTGCTTGAGATATTTCTGGATGGCCACTGTTGGAAACAGACTACTTAACTTAATTTTTATGTTCTCAGGGATGCAAATTTCCCAAACTAACATGCATTTCAATGAGGTTTGCATAGGAACCCTAAGGTTTGTATTTGGGAGTGGGATTTGATCCAGTAAGCTGCCAATGGAATTGTGGTGAAGAGGTCTTAGACTGAGTCCCCATGAAGGGGTTTGCAACATCAGCCTCGGTGATTGACAGGAAAAGCAAAGCTGCTAAATTGGCTAGGTGAATACCAGGAAGGAACCTGGCCACTTGCCTTGGCCTGGTTAAGAGAACAGAATTTACTGCCCATAGCCTGCGTCTCAAGCCAGGAGCAAACTCAAGCCATAGTTGAAGTCTCCATTTCAAAGAAAAAATATGAAACTGACTCCTGATACTGTAGATGGAATATAACCTGTAACGCAACAACAACTATCAATAAATGTGTTCCTCAAGGAATGCTTCACATACGACATATCACATTGTCACATGATAAATCTTTGTACACCCCCATGTACAAAGAGCATGCTGGGAAAATAAGCACTTCTGTTATTTTTACAGATGACAGGGTGCATTAGAGCTGAGCTGAACTGAAATGGCCCTCACAACATCACCAACTTGTTTGTAGATTGTGAAGTTGAGGTGTGTGTGGGGGGGCACATTTTGGTGACTGAGAGATTTGTGAACAGGCCACACTTGCAGCCATATACACTTCTGCTCACTGCTGCTGCCTGGTGCCATTTTCTCAATGCTTTCTATCCAGAAATCTTTAGAGTGAGAGTGGGAAGGCCTTCCCTCACTCTGATTTGGCTTCATGAAGTCAAATCAGAGTGGGGGAAGGAGAAGGAAGTAATGCTTCCTGTTGTTGCTCTTGTCATCTCTTGTGTTAGAAGCACTGGGGGGAAAGCATCAGAAAGCAGATGAAAGTGCTAGGATCATGTGAACAGTTAAAAAGGTAAAGGGACCCGTGACCATTAGGTCCAGTCGTGGCCGACTCTGGGCTCGCGGCGCTCATCTCGCTTTATTGGCTGAGGGAGCCAGGTCATGTGGCCAGCATGACTAAGCCGCTTCTGGCAAACCAGCGCAGCGCACGGAAACGCCATTTACCTTCCCGCCGGAGCGGTACCTATTTATCTACTTACACTTTGACATGCTTTCGAACTGCTAGGTTGGCAGGAGCAGGGACCGAGCAACGGGAGCTCATCCCGTCGCGGGGATTCGAACTGCCAACCTTCTGATTGGCAAGTCCTAGGCTCTGTGGTTTAACCCACAGCGCCACCCGTATCCCTTTTATGTGAACAGTTAGGCAGCAGCTAATCCTGCAAAAGAATAAGTTGTTGTCTCAAACTCTCCTTTCTGCTGGAACCCAAGATTTGAACCAAAAATGTTCTTGAAAGAACTTTCTACTTTCCTATATCAATGTATGTAGGAGAAATGGAATGAGCCAAGCAGTCTTAGTGTTGTGGAAGAGCACAAGTAGATTTAAGCACAGCAAAAGAGGTGAATTTTGTCATTTTGAAGAAGAAACCCTATTCTCAGGGTATTTGCACTCGGGAAATTAAAGTCTCATTCCACTCCAAAAAGCAAAGCAGATGATCAAGTAATGTGGGGTTTTTTTTGCTCCTCTAATTCAGAGCATCCCTCAGCATCCAGATGGCCGGGAAAGAATCCCCAGGCTTTCTCTGACAGATAATTCTAGCATCTGTCACTCAACGGCAGCTGGAGCTGTCAAATGAGACAGCACCTTCACAGCATCTTGGAGCATCCGATCATCAAAAGGACTGGATCTTGCCAGGGTCAGCGAAATGTAGTTCAGCTCTTTCTTTCTTTTTCTATTTTTAAAGGGTAGTAAGAGTAAGCAATGCTAGGCTGACGGCTCCCAAAAGGAACTGTTGTCGTTAGACTACAACCCTTATAATTCCCAACTGCTGGCTATGCTAGCTGGGGCTGATGGGAGTTTACTGGCATTCATATATGAGAGCCAGTGTGGCGCAGTGGTTAGCATGTCGGACTAAGACCTGGGAAACAAGGGTTCAAACCCCCTATTTGGCCACAAAGCTCACTGGGCGAGCCTGGGTCAGTCACTGTTTAACCTACCTCACAAGGTTGCTGTGAGGATAAAAAAGGGAGGAGGAAAACAATTTAAGCCACCTTGAGCTCTTAAGAGGAAAAGATGGGACAGAAATGCAACCAATCAAGCAATCAATCAATCAGTACCACTTTTGTTGTTGTTGTTGTTGTTGTTTAGTTGTTTAGTCGTGTCCAACTCTTCGTGACCCCATGGACCAGAGCATGCCAGGCACTCCTGCCTTCCACTGCCTCCCGCAGTTTCGTCAAACTCATGCTGGTAGCTTCGAGAATTCTATCCAACCATCTCATCCTCTGTCGTCCCCTTCTTCTTGTGCCCTCCATCTTTCCCAGTATCAGCGTCTTTTCCAGGGAGTCTTCTCTTCTCATGAAGTGGCCAAAGTATTGGAGCCTCAGCTTCATGATCTGTCCTTCCAGTAGCACTCAGGGCTGATTTCCTTCAGAATGGAGAGGTTTGATCTTCTTGCAGTCCGTGGGACTCTCAAGAGTCTCCTCCAGCACCATAATTCAAAAGCATCCATTCTTCGGCAATCAGCCTTCTTCTTTTCACCCTCAACAAAAGGTTCTTTAATTCCTCCTCAATACCACTTAGTCATTAGCATTTCTAACCATACAATAAGAATAATCATAAAGTCAAATACTGTATCAAAACTCAAAGCCATTTACAAAAAGAACACACACTCAAAACCTTCACCATGAAGGGATTTGATTAAGACCAGTGTTTCTCAAACTTGGGTCTCCAGCTGCTATTGGAACTACAATTCCAATTATCCCTGACCACTGGACTTGCTAGCTAGGGATGACTGGAGTTGTAGTGTCAAAAAACAGCCAGAGACCCAAGTTTGGGAAACAGTGAGATGGGAAAGGTTTCTCTAAAAGCCCCAGAATGCAAGAAAAGAGTGTCATTCAAGCCACCGTTCTTTTCACTCTTTTAAAATTCAGCCCACAGAAAATTATGCTTATCTTTGGCGCTGTTCTGATGCCTCAGGCACTTCTACAAACTTGCCTCTGGGAAGCTCTAGGGCACCCCACACATTTACTGCCCAACAGATTTCCATACCGCACCCTTTTGGAAAGAAACGGGGGGCAGGGACAGGATGGATGGGGCGAAGGAAAAACAGGGGGAACTGTCCCTTCTCTTCAACAGCCAATGGTGACATTTGACAGACCATCTCCCATTAGCTAGCATGGGGAAATTAATTTCTCTGGGTAGCAGGTGGGCAGTATTTCATGTTTTCCATGTTGCAAATTAAGGAGAATTTTGAGGCAGAAGAAGTGTCTGGGAAATAATGAGTCTAATAGGATTTAGACTAGAGTAGGAAAAATGGATGTAATGAGAATCATGAACTCAGTTTTTGCCAAACCCACTGCAATGTCCATCTCTTCCCTATCACAAGCCAAGAAAAGATTTGCATAACTAAATCCATGTGGCCCTTGGGCTAATTTCATGTGGCCTTCAGTCTAAATTCTGGTGGGCAGCAAGGAGAGAAAAATGGAGAGAATGGGTGGCAGGAAGAGAAAAAAGGGGGCACATTGTCTCTATGACCCATTAGGCGGAAGGGCCATAGCTCAGTGGCAGATCATCTGCTTTGAATAATAATAATGATGATGATAATAATAATGATAATAATAATAATAATAATAATAATAATAATAATAATAATAATTTTTATTTATACCCCACCCTTCCCAGCCAAGACTGGGCTCAGGGCAGCTAACAACTGATATAAAAACAAGTTGATTGAAATACAACTTAAAAAACAAGATTAAAATACAACATTAAAACATTAAAATGCAGCCTCATCCCAGGAGGAGAAAGGAAAAAAGAAAGAGGGGGAGGGAATCAAATTGGCTCCAAGCCAAAGGCCAGGCAGAACAACTCTGTCTTACAGGCCCTGCGGAAAGAAATCAGATCCTGCAGGGCCCTGGTCTCATGAGGCAGAGCGTTCCACCAGGCCGGAGCCAGTGTTGAGAAGGCCCTGGCTCTGGTTGAGGCTAATCTGACTTCCTTAGGGCCCAGGACCTCTAGGGTGTTGCTATTTATGGAATGAATGAATGAAGAAAGTCCCAGGTTCACCCCTTGGAATGTCCAAGTAGGGTTTGGAGAGGATCATGTCTGAAAGCCTGGAGCACCATTGCCAGTCATTGTAGACAATACTGGGCTAGAGGGACCCTCTTACATTGGTCTCCAGCCCCTCCCACCGCTGGCTGTGGCCTCCTCCACCACCAGCATGCAGACCCCAATAGAAAAAAGGGTCCCCATCTTAGCTCTGTGAGGCGATCCTTCCACATACTATCAATGCCCTGTGAAGGAGTCCCCTCCCCAAAAGTCAGGCTCAAGGGTTCTGAGACCCGAGCGGGATGTCTGGCAATAAAAAATAGACCCCCTCCAAAGTGCATGGCCCAATACAGGCAATGGCCATGATCCAAGAGTGTCTGGGGGGACGGCAAGAATTTAGGTAGCCTTGTTGAATCAGAGGTGGTTGCTCACCTAGCTCTGATGCCAGGGCTTAAATGGGCACCATGGGCAGAGATTGGTTCTTGTGATCAGCTGTCACAATGCTCAGGCAGGTCTAGCACTGTAGCCAAGAGGCAGAGAGTATAAGCCAGCTAGTGTCAGGCTTCAGGGAATCAGCTTCCTCCCTCGTGGTAGTAAATAAGAAGATCAAATGAAAGGAACATTTTACCAGTTAGATTCTTTAATAATCACAGTAAGAGACAAAAGAACACATCTCCCTTAAAATGGCGGTGCTCCCAATTAAGGGATACCCCCTCCATCCCTATTAATCTACGTCACTCCTACGTCTTGTAATAATAGCTGTCAACGTTTCCCTTTTTTAAAGGGAAATTCCCTTATTCCGAATAGGATTCCTTGCAAGAAAAGGGAAAAGTTGACAGCTATGCTTGTAATCTGAGCTTGTACCTCCTGCGCTTTCTGTTCTGAGACTTTCTGTGTTCTTCTCAACTTTGGGGAGGGCGGTGGAGGAATGCTGTCCAACGACTGTGAATCTGTTAACCCTCTCTCTTCCAGTGTTTCTTCTCCTAGCTGTTCCCCACCCAGTATTTCCCAGCTTCTGCCTTCTGAACTATGCCCCTCTGCAAACCACTGTTCCAAATCTATACTGCCTTCCTGTTCCTGGGAAGATTCAGGGTCAGGGGGTGGGGGTGGCTCCCACCATTCCTCCTCAGTGCAGCCCTCCTCAACACAGTCCCTGTCAGCTAGGATTGCATTGGAAAGAGTGTCTGTGTTCCAGAAGAGAAAGTTCTGAAGCCTGACTGCTTGGCGTTCTAGTTACATAACCCCACACCATGTGTCATAGCTGGCTAATTTTCAGAGGCTTAAAACAAAAATGATGTGATTTACTGCAGCATTATCTGGATCACTTAGAAGCACCTCAATCCGTACATGTGTTCCCCATGTGGTCTATGACCAAGGGCTGTAGAATGGACAGAGATGGCTTCCAATAGGGGCAACACTACGTCATGGCTGCTTCTACCTCCTTGCTTTTGCCCCTGTTCTGTGTGCATTACTGGAGATCCTCAGCTGGTCAGAAGCCAGAGCACAAGGCAGCATAGCTGCCAACCGTCCCTTATTTGGCGGGAAAGTCCCTTATCCCAGCGCTATGTCCCATTGCTATCCCTTATTGATGATGTCCATTAAATTTCCCGGGTTTCAAAGGAAGCAGCTCCTCTCCCTCCCTCCCTGCCGGCCAGCGAGGAGGGAGGCTCCAACTGTGTTGCTTGGCTGCATTGCTCACCCAATAAGGAGTCTAAGAACGACTGGGGGGGGTGAAGCTTGCATGCCTTGTGCCGATCAAATCGGCCGTGTTGCCTGGGGACTCGCCTTTGCTCAGCGCTTCCCAGCGGAGAGGTGACGGTGGTTTTCCTTGCTGCATCCCCTTTGCCGGGTTGCTGCGCTGTGGGAACCACCGCTTGAGGCTTTGTTTGGCTGCTGGCTGGGCTTTCTGCCTTTGGCTTGGAGGGGCTCAGAAGTTGAACATACCTGTGCTCCTTGGAAAATCCCTTATTTTGGCTGCTGATCCCTTATTTTCGAGGCTGCTGGTCCCTTATTTTCAAATCTGTAAGTTGACAGCTATGCAAGGCAGACACCTCCAGACGGTGACAACTCTGTATCAGGTCTTCAGAGGACATCAGTCCCAAGAGACAAATGTAATTGCCATGTAGATCAGCAGTAAGTGGTACTCCCCACTATGGGCTTTCGCGTCATGAACTCATAAGGAGTAGGCAGAAGAAAAGCGGCAATTGATACCTTCTTGGTCAGAGTTGGTTAGTGAAAGAACAGGTGAAAAAACTGAGTTTGCATTCTGTTGTAGTTTTTGGCACCCGTTAAGAACACACCTCTTCACTCAGGCTTTTGGGAAAGTGATTCAGCAAGGACAGCTGTAAATTAAAAGGTCCATCTGCTGTACCAATATGGTTTATCCTTTTAACTTTGTTATATTGAGTTTTATTGTTGTATTGTATATGCTGTAAGCTATCCTGGGATCTTGAGAAAGAATGGTTTAGAAATGGAGATGATTAAAACGATAAGAAACATAGTATTAATTACCCTGAATATGCTGAAACCAATAGAAATATGGCACCACCTAGTGGTAGAATTCAAGGATTACAATTCAGATCAGTCTACCAAATAAAAAAAAGGGGGGGGGAATGCTGTGCCCCAGTACCCAAAGAATGCACAATTGAATAGTGGATCCTGACCATTACCCTCCAAAAAATAATCACAACAAGTCACTGAAACACTTTTAACCTTCTGACAGTTAGCAGCTAAAATCATGAGCTGGCTTTCAGAAGAGAACAGAAATCTGAATTCCTAATGGTGTAAATGGATACTTAATGTAGAAAAATTAACAGAACTTTGATTTCCTAATGTCATGCTCCACCATCTGCTTGTTAGGACCACCCCATATCCGGAACCAAGCAAGACGTCTACACTGGAGAAG